TGTAAAAAAAAAAATCTAAAATCTGTTCATCATATAAATCAATCGTATCTCTTCACTAAACTTGGATTAAACTTCTTGATTCATATAGATTAGTTTTACAATCTATGTTTTGAGTACCTGGACTTTCAGTGAAGGGACAGAAATGTTTGTGTTATGAAGATTAATCAAAGTCTAACAGGTTTGGAATGACATCAGGGTGAGTAAATGCTGACAGAAATTCATTTTTTGGTGAACTATCCCTTTAACAGATCATGACATAGATCATCTGCTTTGGATCTCCAAGTCATTTGGCTCTTTTCATGCCAACTTATGTAAGAGTTGACAATGGGATAAATTAGTGAGAGTTTCAAGTCACAACATGAGCTCACTTTTAACTCTGAGACAGCAATCCTAAGTAAATAAATAAACGCTCGCAGCAGGTGGGATATTTCACTTCATGGCTTAACATAATGTTTGGATTGTTCCAATGTTACGTATTAGACATGATACTTATGTAATGCAACATTTGTTTTAAATAGCACCTCCCACCTCTGTGTGCTGAAAAGCAGCTGCCTTGTCATTCTGCTCCCTCAGACTGGTCCTCTTCTCCTGCGGTTGTGGAGGCAGAGTTGTAGGTGAAGATGTGGGCAGCTGTGGATTTGGAGAGGTGCTCCTTGTGTTCGACTTCTCCTCGGTCTGGTTGTTTAAGACCATCTGTCAATAACAAACCGCATTAATAATATGTTTAGCATGTATAAGATAAGAAAACAAACAAAAACACCACTTACTTTTTCTATAGTGTCCATGCGATCAAGAAGCTTTGTGGTGACTGAGTGCAATTTCAATAGATCCATGCCATAGAAGGAACCCTCCAGCAATTCCAGTATAGTTGACAGCTGTAACGATGAAGTAAATTCCGTCATGGAAAGAACTGGTTTTATTTAAGGGGTAGGAAATGTTATGCATTCATATCCTGCAATATTTTGAACTTATTCTGGTCTATGAGATCCAACTGCAGATGATCTGGTCACCTTGATATTATCTTTCCCAGCCTGTTGCAGCTTCTTCAACCGGAAGTCACCCTCACAGGGGTTTAAAGCCGACGGAGGTGCAACGCATGCACATTTGCAGTGGGGTCCTGATGTGATGGTCTCCACCGTGTAGAAATCCTGAGGCGTCGCGTGACCATCCCGAATCCGCTGGCATGCGCTCGCGCTCAGAGGTCTGACAACACATTTACAGCCACAGTCAGAGCCTTCCGAAAGCGCTTTCACTTTGTCATAATCACCCAGCAGCTACAAAGAAAAGAGGACGGATGCATTTTCCAGCCAGCCAGCTTTGTTGCATTGTTTGTATATGGATGTGCATTATAATGTTCATTACTGTTTTTCAGTTACTAACGTTGTGAAGTCTATTAATTTGTTTCTGGCACATTTTTGAGTAACTTTCATTAATAACATTAACAAATTTAGCCTACTTACATTCAAACAGTATGCGAATTACACAGTTTTAAAAGGCTTTTTGAAAATCTTTTGGTAACACTTTATTTTAAGGTGCCCTTGTTACATGTTACATGTACTTTCTATTATAATAACAACAATAAATTATGCATAATTGCATGCAAGTAACCCTAAGACAAACCCTAATCCTAACCATATAGTAAATACATGTAGCAAGTTAACTGATATTACTCAGTACTTAAATATATAATTACACTGTAACAAGGACACCTTAAAATAAAGAGCTACACTTTATTTTAAGGTGTCCTTGTTACAGTGTAATTATATATTTAAGTACTGAGTAATATTCATTAACAACATGTTTATTGGCCTATAGGATTAGGGTTTGGTTTAGGGTTATCGGATGCAATTATGCAGAATTTTGTGCTAATACCATAGTAATGACATGTAACGCGTAACAAGGACACCTTAAAATAAAGTGTTACCAAATAAAGTGTAACTAATGTTTTCCAACCGTGAATAACAGAATTTTCTTAATCTTAAAGATTTGTTTAACAAAACACAATTTTACCATGTGCATGTGATATAAAATGGGCAATGAAGCGATAAATGAGGTTAGTAATTATTATTATTATTTTGTGTAGGCTATCATAAGATACGATCGCTCCAGCAGTAGGCTTACTGTTGCTATGGTAACTTTCTCAGGAGCACGCAGTGTCTGTTCGCGACCGTATGTTTATGCTCTGAAATATTGTGCTTTTCTTTGAAAACTTCTTCTAGGCCTTTATTTGAATAATATATTTTTAAATCATATTTTATATGCTATTCATATGCTATTTGAATTTACTTCGGAAACGCATTATGTTAAGCGTTATGCAAAGACTGTCAATAAGTTATTAATGAAAGTTATCATGAAGTGTTACTAATATTGTAGGTTATAAAGAAGCTGCACAGATATAATCGTATCGAGCGCTGGTGAAGAGATTCTTACCCGACTTAATATATTTTCTTGATTATCTCTTTCAACTTGCAAAGTGTCATTCTGTTCATTCGTGTTCTGCAGAAGTCGCTGGTGTGATTTCGGAGCGGCTGAAGAGAGAGCGAATGCCACGAGCCATAAAACGCACCAGATTCCCATCGCAGTCATCGTGCAAGGTGTGATATAATCCCGCCAAGCATATGCCACTGTAGATTGTGCTTGCAGATCGGGCTTTTTCCTCTTCAAAAACGATAAACCGTCAAACAGATTTCCATTTGCATTGCCCTCCAGGTGAAATAACTGAAACGGGATGAGGTTTTGCAAAAGTCCAGATGAGGGCAGGTGCCTGGTCCTCAGCGTGAAACTGGTTTGAGAAGAAGCAGGAGTGAAGTGACATTTAAACTGAAATGAGGGGGGCTGGATGGAGAGACGCACGGAGCACGCTGAACGTTGCGCGCACGCATCCACAGCCGCAAATGCTCACACTATAGTTAAAACGGCACTTCCCATTGACTTTTATTTCTAGTCATAACTATAGACTATAAACTTTTTTTTTTTTTGAGAAAGAAAGAGAATCAACATATGTGTCATAAGAAAAACTATTTATTTATAGTAAACTTTATTTTAAACTTTTTGTGAACTTTATTAAAGTTATATAAATTATTTATGTGGAATTTCTTAAATGTGTTTGTTGCCTAATAAAAACATTTGCATTGACTGTGCAGTGGCGTCATGCACGCAGCTGCTATAGGGAATTTGGCTTTTGGACATAAAAATGACCCAATAACCCACCAAATATTATGATTTTGAATTCGTTTTAGTAAACGGGTCCATTTTATGCAAGAAGTGTGAATCAAACATTTTAGCATTGAATGGTTAACTTTTTTCTGTTCCCAAAAGTGTAGCTAGATCAGAACATTATGCGTAGCAATAGAAGTGTTACAGCGCCACCTAGTGTGTGTTAAGACACAAAAGAATACAAATACGCAGTACAAGTGCGTTCTTTTTCCTATCTGCAAGTGCCAGGTGTTACACTAATATTATTAACCAATAGTGGTCAGTGTTGCTCCATATTACTGTTGTTGCTGCGTGACATAGAACCAACCCACTCTCTGGGGCCCTTAGTGGTCAAGTTTACTCTTTTTACTTCCAGAACTGCTGGGGCCAGTTGCATAAACTTAGCCTCTATGTTAAGACCGTGTCTTAAGAGCCAGTTTGACCAACTAGCAGTTAACCAAGAGGTAATCAGTTTTATATTTTGGATTCAGCTTAGACTAATCTACGTTTTTATGTAACCGAATTTTACAAATTTTGACCAGTCTTAAAGAACAAAATTAGATGACTAACTTTTAAGACTATTCTAAACCTTTTATGCAGCCGGCCCCTGGTGGTAGTAGCCTAAACTAAGTTTAATGTGACTGATATGTCACTAAAACAAGTAATCAAACAAGTAACACCATGTCACTTAAACAAAAAAAGAACAAGAAAACTGTTCACATTAACCAAATGAACCAAATTGTTATAACAAAAAGCTCCAATATGAAAGTATGGAAATTATACAAATAAATAAATAAATAAGGACAAGAACAATAATATTAGTTATAATATTATTTTTTCAACAACATTTTATTTAATTTCTTTAATTAAATGATTTAAATGATTATTTTTCACAAATATTAAAGCCTATTTTGTCCCATAGAAGTGCACATTTGTATATTTATAATCATACTAATAATATATTAACCAAGAGGTAATCAGTTTTATATTTTGGATTCAGCTTAGACTAATCTACGTTTTTATGTAACCGAATTTTACAAATTTTGACCAGTCTTAAAGAACAAAATTAGATGACTAACTTTTAAGACTATTCTAAACCTTTTATGCAGCCGGCCCCTGGTGGTAGTAGCCTAAACTAAGTTTAATGTGACTGATATGTCACTAAAACAAGTAATCAAACAAGTAACACCATGTCACTTAAACAAAAAAAGAACAAGAAAACTGTTCACATTAACCAAATGAACCAAATTGTTATAACAAAAAGCTCCAATATGAAAGTATGGAAATTATACAAATAAATAAATAAATAAGGACAAGAACAATAATATTAGTTATAATATTATTTTTTCAACAACATTTTATTTAATTTCTTTAAATGATTTAAATGATTATTTTTCACAAATATTAAAGCCTATTTTGTCCCATAGAAGTGCACATTTGTATATTTATAATCATACTAATAATATTTCGCATTATTATACAACAATTATGAATGTGATAACTCTGGATGAGAAATTATTACAAATATTTAGGTAAATACATCTGAAAGTCACACTGAAAACTATTTATCAAACGACACCAGCTGGTTCTCACGCAACCCAGTGAAATGTCAAAATGAGTACTGTACCTTTAAGTCACAAAGTTATTATATTATACACGGGAACATTCGAATGATTTCTCTTTTTGTGTACTATCAAGATTATATACAATCCTTAACTCATTTATTACATGTATTATGCTGTCCTTTGTCTCCCTCTTCACTTCAGCTTTATGAGTTGACTGGCCCTTTAAGAAGCGTCGCCTGTGTTTCCACTACTACAAGACAACACACAATATACAGCAGTACTACACAAGCCTCCGCGGAGCGGAACAGACTGCATATTCACGGACGAGCATATCCATTTTCAGTACCGTTTTTGATTGTAACAACATGTAGTTCATGACAGAAGAATCCGTTAAGACTGTATTATCATCGTTAGCTTGGCTTTCTATTATAAGCAAAGGGGATTCCATCAGTGGCTAACGGCTATCAGCTCTAACAACAGAGGTTCACCAGAGATGAGCAAATAAAAGTAATGCTCCTCCACAGCGTATGACCAAAGGCATTATCGAGCGGTAACAGGACTGCTAGGACTCGACGTCAAGATGATGAAGAAAAAAAAGTTTAAGTTCAGAGTTGATTTTGAGCTGGACGAGCTGTCGTCGGTTCCGTTCGTCAACGGAGTTCTATTCTGTAAAGTCCGCCTGCTTGACGGCGGATTCTCGGAGGAGTCATCGCGGTAAGGAGGCTGTGAGATGTGGAGGGATGGATGGAAATGGTTCATTATTATGGCTATGGGTGATACTGGGCTGTTTTTATTCTTTATTGCTTTTTAATAAAGCATAACCAAAACAATATATGCCATAGTGCGCGTATATAGCGCTGTGGGATGAAATGGTATGTTTCTTAAAGATTATTAGTCTTTTACGGTCATGTTTAAGATTTATAATTGTCCATTGTTTGTCAAGGTTGAAGTCAACACTTTTGTGTTTTTGTAGTGACATGTCAGTGACATTTTATGTGACATGTCAAGTTGTTATACATAGAATGTTCATGTTATAAGGTGTTTACTCAAAATGAATTTCATAATAATATCTAGGCAGATTAAAATCTCAGCTACTTGAATATCAGAATATCATATTTTAATACATAAAAGAAAGTTTAGACCTTAATGGCGTATAAACAGTATGCCATGCATGCCCTACGTGACTTATTTTTTACTTAAGAGGAAATGACCCACTGCTCTTGAAAGCTGACATGTCATCTGTGTAAAAGATTAGTAAGTAATTATAGTATATCAGAAGGCATGATCATAAAAGCATAATCTTAAGTAGTGGTCGACCGATATAGTTTTTTTGACAGCCGATGCCGATATCTTAGAGAGCAGGGTGGCCGATATAAAGCCGATATATAAGTATATTTTTTATTTTAATTATAATTTTTATTTATTTTAATTAATGTTTGAGAAACTTGAAATAATTTGAAAATGAATTATATTTGCACTGTTAATCATTACATCCCTAATTAAAAGCCATTATAAACTAGGCATTTGTTGCATCCAGTGGGGACATAATTATGGATTATAATGACTTATATTGTCTTTTTACGCATTGCATCGCGCCGCGTAAACATAAAACCATGTCTGCATTTGTGATCGGAGAAATTACAAACTACAAACGCTACTCTACACTGCTCAAAACTCGCGTTTGAATCATCAGTGGCATATTCTTTAAATATAAAAACGTACTTACACTCTGTGAGTCAGTAGAGTGAGTGGAGGCCGGCTTAAGTGAGCGGCGGCGGGCGGGCTTGCAGCAACCACATGTGGCGACCCCGGGCTGGACTCCGCTTCATCCACAGTGAAAGCCGATCCGGCGATACACAGCACTAAGTTGATGTATTTCCTCAGCGACCAGCACGGATCAGCTCCAGGCATGACTTGGAGGCAAATCTTCCCACATCGTGACGTAGATATGTGGGGGCGTGTTAGAACGAGCCGTATAAGGTAGGCGTGATTGATTCTTAACTTTTATATAGAATATCTCTTTGGATTTGAGACTTTAGTCTTTGCAACTTTACAGATCTTCTTTATGCACCAAGAGCTTGTAACGCTCCAAAGAGAAAGGAAAAATCGCATCATATGACCCCTTTAATGCATCACATCTGAGGGGCAGATTTAAATGTAGAGCAGTGAAGAGAACTGTGCAGTATTACAGATTATTACTTTTATGATGCCATGAGAGGTGCAAATGTGACAATCAGTTGCTGGACCTTCCAAAATTATTCTACATTTATCTATGCATTTGGCAGATGCTTTTATCCAAAGCGAGTTACATAGCATTCAGGGTATTTATCAGTTCATGCATTCCCTGAGATTCAAACACTTGAGCTTGGCATTGAGAGCATCATGCTGTTTAAGCTTTAAGACTATTATCTCACTCATGTTTCTATTCCCATTTTAGTATCTCAGTCCAAAACAGACTGGATTTTTAAAAGGCTCTGTGGCATTGAACATTATACATTAGCACCCAGCCGAGAGGAAAAAAGAGCTGTAACAAGTGATTAATAATAATAAAATCAATTATGAAACTGACTACTAATTTTATTGTTGTTTAGTCGGGTTTGTGACTTGATATTGTAACTTTAATATTTTGAAACTATTAGTATATTGCATATATTTAGTAGACTTAAATGTGCACTGATTAAGATGTGAAATATCCAATAATAAATAATTGACAGATTACCCCAAGTCCTAAAAAGATGTCTCTTCCCTCTCAGTAGACATCACAAACTCTTTGTCTGTGTCTTGCTGCAACATTTGTCATTCACTCTTTTTTGGAGCTCCGCAATACAAAGGCTTCCCACAGTTAAATATTAATATATCAGGCAGTGAAAGTGGGCTGTCAAACTTCACCATGACCAATTCCCTTCATACAACTCCCTGACAATGCATAAGCAAGTAGCTTATTCATCCAAACAGAAAGAGAGCTGTAGACCAAAACCACAGCAGCTTAGAAGATCAAGCTTGGGTTTGCATGAGTGCTTGCTTCTCTTTTCCGTTATGCAGTTTGCAGGAAGTGTCTGAGGTCCGTGAGTTTCTTCTCCCTCCAGACTTGAGTTTGCCTCCATCTGCCTGTGGTGATGATCCTTTTGAAGAACTCCTGTTTCATTGCAGACATCCTGTGGGAGAACCTAAGGAAAGAGCACACTGAACCAAAGCACTCCTGCTCTCTTTCGCTCAGCTGACTTTGCCATGGCAACGGCATATATTCCAAATACGGAAATCAGACCAGTGGCTTGTCATGATGGTTCTTTATTACAATATTAAGCCTGTTGTACATTTTGGCATAAGCACTGGTTTATCAGTTCGTTATTCCAGTGAGAGCAGTGATGCTAATGGCTCTAGCACATGCATGCTGCACTAATTGTCTGATGGACCAATGAAAAAATTTTACTTTGCCATTTTTCCAGAAAGATAATGAGTGCAAATATGGTAGATTGTTTTCATTTGTGCTAGTAATGCATACCATTAGTATCTAATGCTGTTGAATTCATTATGTCCTTTGTGTTTTCGCATCAGTAGTGCTTTCTAGGGAAGGTATTAAAAGAAGGACAGTTTATTGTTCCGTGGCCAGAAAATAAATATTCCTTGAATTGATAAATGATTATATTGTCTGCTCGGTGGACGGACAGATCAAATAATTGTAATATTGATTCTGCTACAGTTAATTCGAAGATATAATCTAAATATTTATTATGAATCATAACCATTTATGATTCGTCATAAATATTCCCCTTTTTAGAGCTAATAAATAATAATAAACGTTACAGAGTTGATGGTTTCATCCAGCTGTGGTTTATTCTGGTTCATGCATTAGAGGCAGTTTTTTCACCCAGTGATTCACTCGGCACGAAGCACAGGCCTTATGGTAGGGAATCTCCCCAGCTGGATGGGAGGTGCCCGATTATGTGTTGTTTTGGCTGTGTTTCCCAAAGACGTCATTGTGGACCATTAGGAGATGACAGAATATAAGGAGAGACTCTGTGTTTATGTATGGACTGTGGATGATTTTTTCCTTACAAAAATATAAATGATACATCAAATGCAAATTAATTTCTTCATAATTGGATAGCATAAACTGTGGAGGTCTATGTGTACCATATTAATAATTAAATCTTTCACTTTAAAACATAAATATGACAATATAGTTTAATAAATAAATCACAAATTGATAATACATGAATTAATATATGTGTCAATAAATACACCACTGTACAACTGATGAATGTAAGTCATGTGTTATTTATTTATTGACAACTTTCACGATTGGAATATTGACTTACCATTCAGAAGTTTAAGGTTAGGGGTAAGATTTTTATTTATTTAAATTCCTCTTATTCAGGATTTACCAAAAATACTGAAAAATACACAAAAATATGAAGTAGCAAGTAACTGTTTTCAACATTGATAATAATAATAAGAAAAGTATCAGCATGTTTTCTGAAGAGACTGGAATGATGGCTGCTTAACATTCAGCTTTATTATCACAGCAATAAATTAAGTTTTCAAATATATGATTACAATTTAAAATAACTTTTCTGTTTTAATATATTTTACAATATTGGTTAATTGTATTTTTGTTCAAATAAATGCAGCTTCGGTGAGCATAAGAGACTTCTTTCAAAAACATTCATAATCCCAAGCCTTTGAACATGTATATTTTAGTAAGCACAACCTTGCATTTGCAACATGCAATCTTTGTTAGCCATTTCTTTTGACTATAACATGGACAAAACACTTTATTCTGAAATGTACATGCTTGCAGTGTTGTGTTCACTGTCTTAATAGCATCACAATTTCCCTGAAGTTCATTTTGTAGACTTCTATCTCTTCAAAAGTCCTCTGGGCCTCGCTCATTTGCCCTGTCTGCAAACATCTGTCTAATTAGGAAGCAGAACACCTGCACAGGGAGGTCCATTTTCAGATGGGAAATTAATTAAACGTCTTGTTGTCAGTATGGCCTTCTGACTCCAAGCTCTAATTAATCACAGAATGTGAGTCAGACTCTTTTAATGCAGTCGACTTGAAGTGAATATTAAAACTCGCTATGAGGCTGGATTGTGTGACTCGTTCTGTTGTGAAATCGTTTTCAAAATCTCCCTGAGGAGCAATGCACTTGTTGGATGTTGCAAATGCAGATCAGATGGGGTGAGAGAGGGTTCACGCTGTTTTGGATGAGTGGATGTTTGTTTTAAAGTCTCGAGCCAAGTTTGTGTTCTTTACAGTGACACCTTGCATTAACAACCCAGTGTATGTTTGCATTTCACAGTGAGACGGTCCAGGCAAACTGTGTACGCTGGAGAAAAAGATTCTCCTTCCCCTGTAAAATGAGCGCTAATGCTGGAACCGGTGTCCTTGACCCCTGTGTTTGTCGAGTTTCAGTCAGAAAGGTACAATCACACTCGTGCACACCTTTTGGTTTACAATAAACAGTTTGGAGTTAAAATACTGAGAATGATTTGATTGTTTTAATGTTACAGGAACTGAAAGGTGGAAAGACTTATGCAAAGGTAATATCTTCTTCATTTTTTAATTAAACATACCAACACTATTAAATTTATTTAACAATAATGTGTAATTGACAAAAAACAAAGTGTGACAAGTCATCTAAAACGATTTTAAAAAGCATTTACTAATTCTTTTGTAACTATTATACATGTGGTTTTTATAACACAATATTAATTGAGAGACTATGTGGAATATTTATAAAGATTAAAATACTAGTCACTCTGCAGGGCTATTTAAATAAACTACAAAAAAAGCAAAATTGTGATTTTAAATGGTGAAAAAAACGACTATAAATTCATATATGTTTTAAGCTAAAATCTTCATGTTGCAACAACAAACAATTGTACAAAATTTTCCTTTCATGAATAAAAACTAACACGGGGCATTGGTAATTCATCAAGTAGACAGTTCTGTAGAGGATTATAAAATATTGATAGCAAAGGAACAGCTGAAAATAGATCACTCTGGAACACTGTGTTTGTATGCAATTCTGTTTGTGTATGAGTATTGAATATTTGTTCATAAAAGCATTAACCTTAGTAATAAATAATCTTATTTATTTATTATTATTATTATTATTATTATATAAAGCATCAGTGCCTTTTATTTTAAAATTATTTTTCTACAGGCAAAAATATTTTTTTCTTCCTGAATGTATGCTGCTTTGGCTCTCTGTACAGTTGGGTTTTGCCGATCTCAACCTGGCGGAGTTTGCAGGATCAGGTAGCACCACACGCAGGTGTCTGCTGGAGGGGTATGACACCAAGAACACTAGACAGGACAACTCCATCCTTAAGGTACAAAACCGCTCAGACTTCCTTTCAGGGTCTTGTCAGCTATTTCTTTATTGCTTTATTCTTAATCGCATTCTTTATTCTATTTTAAGTTTTGAACTTGTGGCTATTATTAGTGGTGCTTTTGGTAGCTATTAGTCATACTCATGCTTAGAATCCCCATGAAATCAAAATCAATTCTTATTTTTATGGAATATTGCAGTATTTATTATACATGTTTTTTTTTTTTTTTTGTGTGAGTGCATATCATTCATTTTCTTTACTCATGCTCCCTCATAATCTTAACTTTCCCAAAATAACTTCCCCTCCATTATGCAACAACATCCCTTCTCTTCTCTGATGACGTGTTTACTGGTGCGAGGGCGGGACAACCTGTCATTCACATGAGACAGCAAACAACAACTGTCATTCAATCAGATTCAGTCAGTTCCCAATGAAAAATATCAAATCCGCCCCAACATTTTTTCTTGTTCAAGAAGCATTACATTCAGATACACATCACAATCGAGAAGAAAAGACTATTGCAAATACAGAGTTCTGGCATGAAACTCTAGATGGCACAGTCCGATAGGTCTTACTCAATCTGACCTAATGACATCATTATCACATGGCACAGCTGATTGGTTCTCTCCTGTATCGGTAGCGAATGAGCTCGCTGCTCAACATTCAAATGTATGACTAATGCTTGCCGTAGCAGTTGCAGCTTGCTTCAGAAACCCTCCACCTTCCCCAGCTCCACCTGTATAGATCTGCTACGAGGTGATTCATGTATGCTATATGGGGGTCATTTCATGTATGTTATATTTGCAGCAGCAATATTTCTTACATGCTCACAGCAGCATGTTGTGGATGTATTGGCAGTAGCAAGTCTCGGTACTTGCTCTGCCGCAACAGCAACAGCAGCGTAGCAGATCTATTCTGTCAAGACCAAATACATTAACATTGTCATGTACATTACCATGCCAATCCCTCCGAGAGTTGACATGACAGAACTTCTGTGCCTCACTCTAATAATCTTTCAGAGCCACTTTAGCAACTGCCTTGCAACACCCTGAAAACCATCCAAAACATGCATGTGAATTTTCCATGATCACATTCTGGGAAATATAAATAAATTAAAATAAAATAAAATGTTATGTCATACACATCCAGTTTCTCTCTTTTTTTTCTTCTTTTTTTTTTGCCTGTAGGTGATTATCAGCACACAGCTGATGTCTGGGGACCCCTGTTTCAAAACGTGAGTGTTACTTTTAAATGCTTTTGCATATGTTATAATTTGGTAGGTAGGAGATGCTACTGAAGTGAGAAAGAATTGAAGTTGGGTTGTATTGAGGCCCTTTTTTTATCTCTACACCACCATAGCGGCATTTTTAAATTTAGATTTACGACCCACAGAGACCTTTTCCTGTTAAACATTTGAAGTTGCTATTATAGTATTTTCTAAGAAACGGCCCGTGTGTGTTGGGAAGGAGTGTGAATGAGCACTTTGAACACAGATTTGCATACTGGAAACCAACACTGTCCACCCACACATGTACACAATGTGCGTGAAGGCAAAAACCTGTTAAAACATTAGTGTGGGTTGGAGCGTGGGGTGAGTTCGGGGATTCTGGGGGCTGCTTTCGGACCACCGTCAGTGGGTGGATTCAGATGGTTTAGTTCTTTAATTCAGTATTTTTCAGTCTGTTCATTCAAATCCATTTAAACCGTATTCTTGATTGCGTGTTCTCCATGTATTAGGCCTCCATCCACCGCAACGGTAATAGGCATTCAGGGTGATGCAGAGAGCCTGCTGGAAGACAGGAAAGGAGGAGACACACAGAAACCTTTTCTGAGTCTCTCAGGTAAACTTCACATTGGTCAGTGTTTGTGGTGAATCAAAAAATGAGACGCAGCTCAATACACAGACCTTATTTTTTTTAACATTTGTCCTTTATGTGTGCTTAAATGTGTTTTCATTTCTTGTATTTTTATGTTGGGTGCTCTAATTGTCTGCCCAAATCAAACACCCTTTGAGAAGCTTCTCATTTATTCTGCATCCAGTCTTGTAGCAAAGAACAGGACTGTATGTTTGATTTGATGCTGCTGAACTAACGGGAGCTTGAAAGAGTGCTCTCTCTCTCTTCCCCCACTCTCTTTTATCCTTTCTTTGCCCTCATACATGCTGCGTGCCTTTTCTGTCCAGAGGCCAGCGAAAGCATCAGTCTTTAATGTATAATTTAGCCGTATGCAGCTCTTGACTTTGCTTTCATATTCATTCAGTATGACTAACTGCTTATGATGTAGAGCAGGCGTACAATTCATAAAATATGATTAGCTTACTAGTCTTCTGTAGTGATTTTTATTTGCGATAATTGAACAATATTAAAGCCATATTAATATTCATATCAGGCCATTTCATCTGAAATATTAATGAGATTAAAGACAAGATGCCAAAAGTGGCTTTGTGTTAAAGGCGATTGATGAATTAATCAGTATCGCCATTTGTTCAGAAGAACATGTTTGAAGAGTTATACAAGTTAAATATGGGTTAGCAGAGAAATGCTACGCTTTTGATGGAGCAAACTAATTTAGAGATTGGTCAGGATGGTCAACTAGTCTTTTAGCATCTGATGTTAGTGATGTAGATATTTTCAATCACTTTTCAACTTTAAAATTTTGTGTATTGAGGGTTTTCATTTGTTAGATTTAAGGCCATGCATATGCTAGCCAGTGTTATTTTAGTATCATTTATATAATATTATTGTATTTATTGTTTTGATTTTTAATTTTCATAGTTTAGTTTAGTTTAAGATTTAGTTATTTTGTTACATGATTTTGTCATTTTGTAAATAGTTATAGTAATTCTAGTACTTCGTTTTTTTTATTTGAGCTTTATTTAAATTATTGAGAACAATTTCTAAACTTTTAGTTTTAGTAAAAAAATAACAACGTTGAATCTAGCATACTTAAAATTTACAAAATAATTTTTCACGTAGGACCAAAATAAGTAATGACAAAAAATTATTTATAACAAAATATTTAATCTTGTATATGCAAATTTCTAGCCAATAAAATACATACTTACTAGAATGAGAAAGTCCCTCCTTCTAATGCACCATCTGCTGTAAACTAGAATTCGCAAATAGCAAATCATGATTCAAAGGTGTGATGTAAATGGAAGGCTAATTTAAAAATGTCATGCCCTAATGTCCTGTTTTAACAGGAAATATGCCGACACAGCGAATAAAAATGTGTGCTTGTCAAGCAAGCTTTAAGGGTTACAATCATCAAAAAGCTTTTGTAACCAATTCAATACCTTTGTGAAAGTTTTAAATTTTAAATGTTGAAATATTGAAATGAGCTACTGAGCTACACTTGCCGATTATGCATGCCTTATTCGTCAGAGTCTGGTTGACATAATCCTAAACCAATCTAATTATATTGGACTTACAAAATGCATATATTCATTTTCTAATCAGCAGTCCTAATTTAAATAGTTAAATTATATTAAATGCCTGAATACTCCAATGGACGAAAGCATGGCTACATTAAATATACAGTATATTGTATTTTAAGGTTGGAAATAGGTGACGAACAGGTTTGATTAGCGTTGAATCCCATAAAGTGATTGAGCAGGTTTAATTAAGACTGAACTGAATCCCTTATGTCCACAGAGACATCAGGGAAGTGTGGCTCTCTGCCCGATGAGCTCGGGCTGTGCGGACATTCTCGAACGTCCAGTTACGCTAGTCAGCAGTCCAAAGTATCAGGTAGGCTTTCCCTTTCCACTGTTTTCTCTCTGATCACTTAATCGTGAGTCAATGTGATTCTGCTGACTTGCTGGACTTGAATGCATGCCTGATTAGTATTGTCTGTAACCTTGGCTGTAACATTATCAGGCTGTCAATCAACATGATGCAGTGTTATTGCAAGATGATTAACGAAATTTGTAATTTTGCAAGTAGGCTGCATGTCACGTGTCTCTGTTCTGTGCGATGGAGTGAAGATTCAAGTGTGCACATATGAGAGAGAGAGAGAATGTGTGTGCAAATCCATTAGCCCATATTATATTTCGTTACAGTAGGTTGCACTTTCCACATTTAGGGTACAGTTTGGTGTCCCATTACTTTGATTAAAGCATTAGGGACACAAATCCCATGTTTTTTGTTGTGAGAAATATTAGATGTTTGGTTTAGTATCCTCCATTGTGGGGGCATTGACCTAAAAATATTGTAATTTGTATTGATTTTAATTTTAATGAACACTATCGTTCAAAGATTTGGGGTCAGTAAAGGTTTTTTTATGTTTTTGAAATATTATTACAATTTAAAATAAATGTTTTCTATTTTAATATATTTGAAAATTAAATGTATTCCTGTGATGACAAAGAGGAATTATCAGCAGCCATAACTCCAGTCTTTTTTTATTCTGATATTATTATTATTATTATCAATGTTGAAATTGTGCTGCTTAATATTTTTTATGGAAAACTGTAATAGGGTTATCTGATGACTATAAAGTTTAAAAGAACTGTATTTATTTAAATAGAAATCTTTTACTTCAAATCAATTTAATGTGTCCTCCTTGTTGAATATAAGTATTAATTTCTTTTTTTTAAATCTAACTGACCCCAAACTTTTGAACTGTAGTGATGTAAAATACCTCATATAAAATGAATAAAACAGTTCATATAATATTTAGTTTGACGATCAACAATTTAAGCACCTCCTTTGACCATTTTCCTGAGCATGGTAAAAGATGACATTTTTAAGCATTCCATGCCCTATTTTGTTCCCTTTTAAGGAAAGTGCTATTTGCTTTATTAAATAAACTAAAATTAGGCTTTTAGAAAGATTCTGTGGCATCACAAAATAGCTGGATTAAATGTCCCAGATCTAATTTGATAACACTATATTTTCTCTAGTACTTCCAGAGAGGAGACAGCACTCAGTCCTTATTTCATTAAGCTATTCTCTTAAATTGGGTTACACATTGCTCACTTTGACCTTTTGCCTTAGATCATCTCAAAGTGTAAAGTTAGTTTTAAAGTCCCACAGAGCAAACAGAAGTGTTAATCACATATCCATCTCTGACTGGAAACTGGAGTTGTTGTGTGCATATACATGTGTGGGAGGATATTCACTTTAGTAACAGCCCATACTAGGCGAGGCAAGGCTGAAGATTTGATATTGGTCTATAGTTGCGGTCGAATCTGTCTGACCTCTGCATAACTTGGGGATGTGCTAATCGCCTTCCTGATATTATTGATCATCTCAGAAAAGAAGGAAGCAAACTCATTGCATTTGTCTCATTGGGTTTTGTCAGTCTCTCAACAGTAGCAAAAAGAGTGCCAGTGTTGTTTAAGTTACTGTTTATAAGGTTTGAGAAGAATGACTGTCTAGCTTTGCCTAGTTCCACATTGAAAGCACGAAGGCTGTCTTTATAGATGCTATAGTGGATTTCAAGTTTCGTCTTCCTCCACATCCGCTCAGCTTTTCTGCATTGTCTTTTCATACTCTGAACTGCTGTTGATTTTCTCCAAGCATTACTAGCATTATCACTTTCTAAAACTCTGGAAACCTGAATAGCAAGTGTGGGTGGGGGATGTTAAATGTCCTTTCATTACAAAAGTGATTGATTGGTTAATCTGTGAAGGTTTTTGAAGTGCATGCTGTATATTACCAGGGTAGATCAACTTTTTTTACTAAATAAAATTAAATAATAATTGAAAACAACATTGTGTTGTTTCTCAGGCTATAGTACAAGTCACTCACGTTCCTCCAGTCTGTCGGAGTTCTCCCACAGGAGGAACACCTCGATCGGCAGTGCTTCCACCGGCATTGCCAGCATCCCTGAGCCCAGTGAGGAGAGTGACCAAACTACAGTGCCCCCTACAGCCCCGGGGGTCTGCGCTGCTGTGCCTGAACACCCATCAACCCCTGACAGAGCTGCCAGCAGGTCAGACAGACACTGCTGCCACTGCCTGCTATATTCATCAAGCTTTAGATTCAGGATATTAAATGATTGTAGATTGATCAGATTTATTTTATTTTTCATATATACAACAAGGTACCCAGTGAAACAAGACTCAATGGAGTCTCAGCTGAAAAGGGTGGATGCCACACGGGTGGATGCCGTTGATGTGGTAGAGAAGATTCTTCAAAGCCAGGATTTCACTCACAGTCTGCTAGACTCCAGCGCTGAAGGTAATAATGGCTTCTTCATGTTTATTATAAGACTTCACTTAAGGTACTATTAGCACATTTCCATCAGAGTATATGAGTAGCATTTATAAAGTTTCAAATAAATGCTGCTTTATTTCCATTAATAAAAAAATCCTTAATGTATAATGGTTTCCACAAAAATATTAAGCAGCACAACTGTTTTCAACATTGACAGTAGTAAGACATTTCTTGAGTACTAAATCAGCATATTAAAATGATTTCTGAAGGATCATGTGACACCGAAGACTGGAGTAATGGCTGCTGAAAAGTCAGCTTTGGCACCACAGGAATAAACAAAACTCATTCCTAGAAAACAGTTATTTTAAATAATAATATAAAAAAAAATAGATTAAATTATTAAATAAAGACACTTCTTTCAAAAACATTAAATCTTAGCAACCCCAAACATTTAAAAGGTAAAGTAATGTAAAATACCTATATAATATTTAGTTTGACGATCAACAATTTATGAATGTTATGCACCTCTTATTACTGTGATTTTAACCTAATTTTAAAAAAATGCCCAAATTCCCAGTGAAAACTATGAAGCAGGCAAAACTTTAAATCCACCAATCAGAGAAGTCGCTGTTACCATAGTAATAAGAACTGCACCAAAAGAGCTTAGCAATGTGTGAGCTGTCATGAAGAACTGCAAATGATGTAATCAAATTAGTATTTTTACGATCTTAAACATCTTATGTTACTGTTTTGTCTATTTTGCAATAAACTTCAATTATATTGCATTTTATGCATATAATAAATGGCTATAGATTCAAAATTTTTTTATATTGTTCCATTTTTTAAATTATTTACATCAGCAGTGCTTCATGGGATTGAAGTTCATTCTCTTATTAACGATTAATTCATATTTCATATTGTTAGTCATTATATTTATATATATTAATATAAATTCCATCTTTCTTTAATTCTGACAGACTGCTATAAATAATTTTTTATATTGTGCTGTTATTTGTATGCCTCATTTGCAGTGTCTCTTGGGATTGTAGTCTTTCAGATTGTTGTCTTTCAAATAATATATCATAAATTCCGTCTTTAATTCTGATTACTAACACTGAATTTCTGCTGCTGTGAAATTACATTTTGGGCCAGTAACTTGCTTGTGACGAATCGATATCAGTGCAGACTTGGAAGTTAAATTGAGAGCAAACAAAAATAAAAACACAGAGCTAGAAACAGGTTGTTTAATTGGTAGCAATGTTTACAGGTAGCTGCTGCTTCTCAGTAGGTGTATTGAAGTGTCTCTGTACCAGAGCACGTCTCTGTGTGTGTATCCTATTAGTTTTCATATTATTTTTAGATGACCTGGTGACAGGTTCTCATTAGAAATGGACCAATTTGGTTTTTGTAGCCCCAGAGAAGAGTCGTGACTTTGTGTGTGCAGAATGGAGGCGATATCTATTTCAAGTGTGTGTGTGTGTGTGTGTGTGTGTGTGTGTGTGTGTGTTTCAGAGGAAGGTCTGCGTTTGTTTGTGGGTCCTGGTGGGAGCACAGCACTTGGTAGCCATCACCTTCCTGCCAGGTGAGGAATAGTTCAGCCAAAAATGAAAATGCTGTCATCATTTACTCACTAAAATGTCATTCCATACCATATGACTATCTTGGAGCACAAAAGGAGATGCTTAGTAGAACATCCAAGCTGCTCTTTTCCATGTAATGAAAGTGAATGGGGGACTGAGTCTGTTAAGCTTTAAAATATTACCAGAAGGCACCATAAATGTATTTGTGCTTCAAAAGCCATACAATAGCCTGCATGATGAAGACATGAAATATAGAGCATCTCTTACTGCATTTCATATAAGTCAGACAAACAGGTTTGGACTGACATGAGGGTGAGAAAATAATGACTATTTTAACATTTGGGTTACTGTCTCTTTAAATAACAGCAAAATAAACAGTGGTATTCCCCCACGCTCTATAAAAATGTAAATCAGTGCATTGACCGGGTTGTATCATATGTAAATGCTGATTTCTGCTCTTTTCAGGGTTGGAGCTGGTGCCTACGAACAGGTGGTCATTAAACGCTAGAGTTGGGAGATGCCAGAAGGAGAAGTGTCAAAAACCAAAGTCTGTTTCGTGGGAGGAGAAAGGGACGAAGAGATTCAGACATGTTCGTCTCCTCTCACATTAGGAGTGTTTATCACAACCTGTTTCATGCTTTCCATGGAATGGTGTCCTCTGCTGGCTCCATAAAGAACTGACAGCTCCTCTGTATGAGGCTGCCATTATAGCAGTGTCTGTGTTTCACTGTGAGGTAAAGGTTGTCTCCTATTACGCCCTTTTTTTCCCTCTATTTTCCTTGCTGAATTTTTTAAAAATATATATATTTCATATTGTTGTTTTAGTTAGTAAGATCTCTCTTTATTTTTACCCATGTTTACATGTCTGTGAGCCATTTTAGGGGTCTGTCAGTAACATTTGATGGATTGTATACATCTTTTACAGTACGTGTGAGGTGTATACTCTCTGTGCAGATGAAGGTGACCCCTTTACAAATTTGTTTGTCATCTCATTACTGTCAGAATGGAAATCAAACAGTCCTCACCCACCCGCGGCATCTCACTTTGTGCATGTGAGATGTGATACATTTTGACAGATCGTTTTCAGACTTGAAAAAAATTTCATTTGAATAGCACTTTGAATTGAAGGACTTTACATGCGCTTTCTATGTATCTCCAACATTGTAGGGAGTTTTGAGGTTGAGCTGCTGATTGGGTTAAACCATACACGAAAATGTGTATTTCCTCTTTTTTCATCATCAAAAACAACTTTCGGCTCGAGAACTTAAATGTAGATGAATCTCCTACAGCTGCATTATATGTTGAATGGGGACTACTTAAGTGATTTTGCAGTTCAATATATAGACACATTAGCGACATAAAATCCAAGCAGCTGAATATCTAACAAGTACGTCTCTGGCATCATTAATGACATCTCGTAAATGTATTGGCTTTCATGCAAGGACAAAATGAGCCAAGCTGTTCTCAAGCTACAATTAGTTACATGGCAGCACAGAACGAAGCATTTAACTATTTCAGCAATGCTTGAGCGTGTAGCTCTTCTTATCCTCTCTATAACACCACAAAAACTTTTTATCCATGTTTTTGTAGTTACTTGATGTATCACTAAAATGAAGGTATTTTAAATGACTATTTTCATGGTATCTCTGTCTGTAAGGTCAGCTCTAAAGCATATCAGAATCATACATTAGTGCTTCTCTAGTTGTATGTGACCGTACTATGCCCATATCTTCTCAGAAGCCATTCACTGTTTTATTCATATAAACTCACTAGCCTCTGCGATTTAAGTGTGTGAGGATTCGCAGTTGAGCGAGTGTGTCTGCAATCTATTTGTAGCACTTGATTATCTCATAACTGTCTAGAGTTATAGTGTAGAAATGCATGGGTGTCACATCTACTCAATGTGTCCGAAGCATTTTGTGTATCTTTGCTATTTCCATCAGATTGATCCAGGTCTGTCGATATCCAAACACTAAAAAAAAACACTGATGGGAAGCTTGGATTCAACTCAGCCACACGTCTCAGGTTTATTATTTTATCTTTCGCAATTACTGCACTAATATCAAAGCACCACACTGCGAATGTACGGAGCCCCTAAAGACCCATGGTGATATGCATTAATATGAGATGGGAAGAAAAAACATATCAGTGCTTTTGCGGTCTCAAGCAATCCAAAACATTTGCTAACAGAAACTTTGTTCACTTGCAAAACCTTTGTGTTCACCCAAGACGCTAAAAGGAAACGCTAGAAATTAAAAGTTTGTGAGTGATATATATATATATATATATAACATTGATATATACTTTTTATTTTGTCCCATCACGTTGTTCTTCATCATCATGTCCCTTTAAGGGCTCCGTAGCGAATGTTTGCAAATACCAGTATATTTAGAGGTTCTCTGCGATATTTCAGCTTCATTACTTTTCATCAGACACTCAGTAATAAGAGTTATTTTAAACTTGATTTTTAGTTTTTTAATTGATGTACTGCCAAAATGAAAGACTATTTTTATGTATTTGAGCTTTAGTGATACTGAAATTGTGTGAAGATAACACTTTTTCCCCTCCGTGTTTCCTAATTACTCTTACATAACCTGTAAGTAGGTCCTGGTACTTTACATGTTGTAAAAACATGGTGGCTTTATCTCTTCTGTGAAGTTTTGGTCCTTGTAATTGTACTGTATCTGATGTTTAAAAGTGACATTGCTGTTTTTGACTGTCTTGCAATGTTGTGTTCTAACTTTTGACCAATAGTGGCTTCCATGCCATGTGTTCTGTTATGATGCTGGTAAGGTATGTACCATTCACTGTTAAATAAAACCACATTTCAAACTTGGTGTCACATATTTGCATTTTTATTAATGACATGTTTAATGATGGTCTTCTCCATCAATCACAGATTTGGCCATTTAATTGAAATGTGTCATTCTGATGATTCTACACTTATAGTCAAAAAGGAAAAACATCTTAAGTGCAGCTTTCTTTCTTTTATTCTGGTTACAAAGCTTTCTGGATCTGTTATACATTTCCATAACACCCAAGCTCTCTATCCCAGTCCTCCTCCATGTTGTTGGCTACACCTGATACTGCTTTCACATCTTCCTCTTCCTCCACCTCCACCTCATCATCATGATCAGCAGCAGCAGGCAGGTTTAGCACCGTTCCATCAGCGCTCATCCTCACTCGCGAGTCCACCAGCAGTTCCTCCCTGAGACGCTGCATGCTCCCACACAGTGCTCTCACTCTGGGACTGGACCACACACATGCCAAAGGAACACAAATGGTGCCACCTTGCTGGTAGACAGGCTGCCAGTCACATGTACCCCCTTCAACCCCATGCTGGAATACGTCCATTAATGGAGGAGCACAGAAGTGTGCATTATTGTTGGAGTCCATGTTCATTCTGCTGAGCCATTCCTGTCTCCGGTGTTGTGCCTCATACAAGACTTCATTAACTAAAGTTCTCTGGTAGATGTTGTTATCACTTAGGCTCGGATACACTACTTTGTACATCTAAAAAAAGGAACGGCAAAGAAAGATAATAGACGAGTGCAAATATCACCAGTTTTAGGACAAAAATAACTTGTTTTAGCTTAAACCTGTGAAGTCAGCATTAAAAGAAGAGTTCACCATATTTTCGAAAATGCAATGTTATTTATCTTACTGCCAAAAATTTGTCTCTGCATGTTTTGTATTTTAACCCCCACCTTTCAATCAACAACCAATGGGCAGAACCAAGTTCCCACGCTACACTTTTTCTTTTTCAATAATAGTGCTGTTCATGGCTGCGTGTAGCACCTACCGCTCTGCATATCCTTCCAAGGATTGCATGTTACATTCGCAATGTACTGAAACTACCAAAAGGCCTTTGCTTCCATATTGTAGTGTTCATCTGAGCGAAACGATTGTTCAATGTATCGGTTGTTGATTGGGGTGGAGGGAATATCTGAATGCAAGATCGCAGTACATTGTAAGAAAGGGGCGGGTTTTAAACTGACTAAATGACTGGTCGCCAGAGAGAAGTCATTCCACCGGAAAATCAAGTTACTTTAATTAAAAATTGCATGGATCAATTCATGCTAACTTTATGCTGAGATGGCATTTTTATTAAAAGCTTTCGCTGCACATTTCAGCACTACTAAACTAAATTGCGACTCTTTTAGTACAAGTGATAAGTATTTAGAAAGTACAATATGACTCTAAACAAATATGGAATTTCCAATAAGAAAAAGCCAGTCTCACCAGTCTATAGACTGAGGGTTCCAAGCGTTCAGCATTGCTCATGGAACCATGGAAATTCCTCTGGAACACGGCAATCTGGGTGCAGAATCCCACTTCTCTCCAGTGGCCAACAGCTTCTCCAACTCCTGTGAAATGCACGGAGTAGCCATAATCTCTACACACCTTGTGAGCCCTGTAAGGGAGAGAGAGTTGAAAAAGCTTTTAGCTAGAAAAAAAAACATCTATGTAAATCCCTTAAATCTGATCCTAAATCACCACCGGAATGCGTTTTCATTATTACAAATTTACTCACCAAGTTTGAAACTCCGCTCTGGTCCATTCAAACTTGTGGTCATAGTTTCTGAAGCCTTTCAAGCCCGGCAGCAGTGGGTTGAACTCTACGTTTGGTGTGCTTACAATCACGGCACCTGGTGACATGTAGCCAAACACCACCTCAGAAAAGCTTGCCACCTCCACAAGCTCCAGGTGTTCGATTCTTAAATGGTAGAGATGTTTACATAAGCTCAAGTTGAACATACAATCTGAAAGTAACTAAGTTTATTCGCAAAGACGTGGCACACTTACAACTCCACACATGTCACAAGATCAAATCCTCTGGTGCAGGGCTCCCTTTCTGTGACAGAGCCTTGATACAACTCAATGGTCAAAGGCCCATCACTTGGCTGTAGATAATCACTTATAAGTGGAGCCAACATGTGCCTGGCAAAAAATAAATCACACAAGATGAATGAAGAGGAATCCTGATTTGCATATGGCCAAAAGTACGTGGAGGCCCCTTGTGTATAATAAATCGTTGGCCTTATGGGATAGCACTGTCTCATTTTAATGCCATCTAAAACTACACAACAATGAGATACCAAACTTACATTCTCTTCAGGAGGACGACGCTGTTGATATCAACTCCCACTAGTAACTGAATACCGTTGCGGTGAAACTTAAGCTTTTTCAGTAAGCAACATTCTGCGCATCCGAAATCGATGACCTGCGGATAGATGTAAAAAGACTATTGATTAGCACGCTAGTTCAAGCCTAGCGTCAAAGGCCATCGCGACTTAACTTTAAAATGCCATTCATATGTTTATTTACCTTTTTAGGTCGGTAAGTTTTCACATAGTCGATAACAAACTGGTATCGCTGCATATAAAGTGGAGGAGAAAACGGCGTGGTCATGGTGAGTGTCTTGGTCAGGTCTGCTCGGCTGGCTGTCCTCATTAAACACATACTCGAGGTGACACCGTCAGCTGAGCCGTGTGAATGCTTACTCAAACACAATCAATCTTTAAAGCAAATGCAAAAGGTTGTTACTGGACCGGTGTTAATTGAGATATATTTATTTTAGTAAAAAAAAAAAATGTTTTTAACAAAAAATTAAGTTATATTAACACTTTAATGCAGGGGTCTCCAACCCTGCTCCTAACTGTCCTGAAGACTTCAGTTCCAACCCTGTTCCAACACCTTGATTCGCAGGTTCAGGTGTGTTGCAGCTGAAATCTGTAGGACGGTAGCTCTCCAGTAGCAGGGTTGGAGACCTCGGCTTTAAAGCTTACAATAAAAATCAAGCCTTTTGTATTTTATAAATTATGAGCGGCAAAATATTGTGAGGGTCTGTGAACCATTTCCTTCATGAAATTGTATTTTATAATAATCTCATCTTCATTTTCTCTGGGGTGGTCCACAGCCCACTTATAAGATAAATACATTCATGGAGATTAAATATTATTTTGAGATTAAATGATTTTATTATCTTACTTGAACAGTAAAATTGCCCAATTACAATGTAGAAAAAGCATTCGGTCTAACAAAGGGAACACTGCATTAATATTTATAGCAGGGGGGCCCCAGGACTGGAATTGAGAACCACTGTTGTAAGGACATACTTAAAGCAGCTGTATGAAGTTTTGTGTATTTTTGCCCTTTGGGAGCCCCCTGAATGAGTGGAATTCATTATTCAGTTGAAGGTGGCTTAAGAAGTTACCGAAATCTACAGTAGTCTCCCTTTGAAGTGAATCAAAAAAGTTCATCAAAGTTGTCCTAAGACAAGAATGCGTTTTAGGACAACTTTGATGAAATTTGTATTTGAATGGATTTAATGTTCTCCAGATTCACTCTGGTGATGTCTAATCTCCTCTGTTTCAAAGCATACAGGTTACAGAAATGTTACCTTTATTTCACACAGAATGCATTTATTGTTCTTCAGGTGATTTCTAAATTTCTCTCTTCTGTATTTTAGAAATCATTTAGTTACAGCATGGTCACCAAATCCAACAAGGCAGCATAAGAAGTTACCATGATCCGTTTCTCTCTCTTTTTCACACAGAATTGCTTTAATGTTCTCTAAATCCTCCCCGGTAATGGCTGAACTCCTTTATTTCATACTCTGGAAAGCATTTTGGTTCTTTTATAAACCGCTACAGAAGGGTAACCAAATCCGACAAGGCAGCGTAAAAAATCCATTTGTTATGGGTGCCACAGAAATAAACAGTACTGGTAAAGTGTATAAATTGAGGTTTTTATTGGCTTTATTTTTTAACTTTACATAGAAAAGCACAAAAGTATTTCTACATGTAATAAAAACGCTTCTTGTATTGCTGTCTTGATAGGCGGTATGGGATTACTCAGGGCTCAAATACTCCACATGCTGATATTTTGCAGTCCTGTTTGGGCCTCTCGTTGTAGGTGGGCACTGCCTCTAGTCTCTTCAGAACCTCTGTGCCCTCAACAAGTTGCCTGGGAGAGAAAGAAAAAGCTGTGATGGAGTTTTTCAATTTTGTAAGAATGGTAAATAGCAAAGATCTTAATTAGGCATTTACCTTTTGGATATTGTCTGCATTAATAATGCAAAGCCAAATATCAAGACAAGCTCTCGTAATTTGGGCTTTCTTGTGTATATACAGTATGCAATCTATTGGAGTCATTACCCAAAAGCCACATATTTGTGGTCCATCCAGGAAGCTGGCTGTAGTGTGATGTAGAACTGAGAGCCGTTGCTATGAGCACCTTGATTAGCCATTCCCAGAATGCCACGCTTGTTGTGGGATACGACAAAATTCTCATCTAGAAGAGAAAACCACCTGGTGCTTTTTATATGTATGAAACAATGTGTATTTCACACACTTTAAAGTCACCATGAAATCATAATTGACAGTTCTTATTTTAATGGAATATTGCAATGTTTATAAATGATTTATCCATACACATTTTTTTTTCATGTCCTCGCAATCTCGTGACAATGATCAAGTTAATTAGGTACTGCCCTACAAAATTAGGTACCGGCCGACATTTTTTCCTTTTTCTTTTTATGTAACGGGAGGGGGGGAAAAAAGACACAATTTCCATTTCATGCTGACTTTAATGACCAAAATATGTACTTTATGTAGCACAAACTCTGTACCCTCAAATGTTGGGCCATAGATAGACTCTCCCCCAGTGCCTTTCCTTTCAGGTGAAATATCTGTAATCAAAATCATATAATATATCAATGAATTATATACAATCACAAGTTTTTTAATATATATATTTCGATACAATTATGATTATTATCTTACCTCCACCCTGCAGCCAGCCATTTTGCACAACTCTGTGGAAAATTGAGCACTTATAGCTCAACTCAAGGTTACTCTTGGACAAACCTGCCTCTCCAGTGCACAAGGCCTTAAAGTTCCTACACGTCTTTGGACACAAGTCTGAGAACAGCTGACAGGTTACATTTAAAACACTTTGAGAGTGGAGAAAAAGTGGAAACACATTTCCACAACAACTCAAGTAATCAAATGATCAATCATCTTACATTATCAAGAGGCATAACATCTATTTACCTCAAACAACAGTCTGCCAAATGCCTCTCCACCGCTTTCAATATCCATATAAACAAAAATATGCTGTGGGAAAGAGAGCAGATGTTGCAGATGTTGCACACCTTGTAGCTATTATGTGAAATTATAGATAGTTGTAGTCTAGTTACATATGATGTGCGTTTATTCATTTACTGGATTAACATTTATTCCTCGCTCTTGTGTTCATTTACCCCTGTGCCTCGCAGGTTGCTGGTGTAATATTCCTCAGCTAGGGCTTTATAAAGCGCCTGTGGTCGACGGAAAGAAAACGTCCACTCTTTCTCTGCCCAGCTGGACAGTTTCCTCTCATCACCGAGCAACTGACCGTTTGCGAAAGACATTAGACAGCCGCTGTACTGCCAAACCTCCGCTTTCAGCTCCTTGACAAGTCAACGTGCGTGAGTGATTTATTACTAAAATGCATATTGGAAACAAGCGAGCGGTGTATAATTAGTAAGTGTCTTACCCTCTTTTTATTCGATAAATAGTCATGCCAGTCACACTCCAGCAACGGGCGAATTGTTGGATCATCAAATGACTCCGGGAATTTATTTTTCAGTCCCTGTAAGTAGAGACGTTATGGCTTTTTAACAGTTAACCATGTTAAAATGCTAAATACGAAGTGGTCAGCCTCTTAAAAACTTTACCTCGACAATGCTTTTGGCTATTTGAAAATTATGTTTATTTAAAAGACCGACGATCTCTAAATGTACCGTGGACGCCATGTTGTGTGCGTCTCGTTGTCAGGGTAACCGCGGTGAATGGCGCACAACGAGGACTAGCCGTTCTGCATATTTATTCATGCAGTATCTATCTATCAATCGTTTTATTTATTCATTATCCATTTAGTTCTTGATAAAAAACAACAACAGCAAACGTTCAATACAAGAACACATCACAAAAATCAATTAAAATGTATTTATTGGGCTCATTCACATCTTTAATTGTCCATTGAAAAGAACACGTTAACAAAGTCCTCTCAAAATGTATATCTATGAATTTTACTAATGTAACCTCAACCAATACTGTCAAATATCGTGATGTGCGGAGTCTGACTCAAGGTCTTTATTATTTGAAGTTATGTTCTAACTTCCCCCAAGCTGTATCAGACCCGAGGCTGTTTTGGTGGACTTCTCCAGGGCCAGAAACCTGTCCAGCTTGTGTGCAAAATCAGGGGGCAGGTTGTGAGGGGATCTGTATGTCTTCATGGTGGTACTCAGGTATGAGATGAGCTCACAGCTTTCCTCAAACTTTTGAAGTTTCTTTTTGTACTTCTGACGAATATAGTCTGGGTTCCTGCTGTTGAATGCTGTGGGGGTAGAAGGGTAGAAAGATTTCAAGTGTTTACTTAGACTTGAAAATATCTTACATTGAATGAATGAGTGAATGAATTCTCATTTTCAGCTATTCTAAAAGGAAACTAAAATAAGACATTCAAGGCCACCTTTCAGATGAAAGGCCAGGTACAATATAGCAGATTTCTTCACACTGAGAAAGGGCAACTTTGGCTTGAGTTGACCAACAGCAGTCATGGCTCTGATTATGGGTACTGCCACACTCTACAAGAGAAAACAAACATATATATAAAAAAAAATACATGTACAATAATAGCAAACGCATATGTGGTTAAGATAAGTAAATACATTTCCACAAAAAAGCAAAGCTTTAAACACTATTTTACCACTTGTTAAAAACATGGTTAACTGATGGTTACACAATTATGTGACCAATATTTATAGGTAGACAAAAGCAGCAGATTCTGTGTTTCAGTGCCCTCTTACTTGTTCCAAATAGCCCAGGATCGGTAAAGAGGTTAGTGAGACCGGATCTTCCAACGGAGGTAGTTTATGTGGAAGTTTCTGGTCCCAGTAAGTCTCAGGTGACCTAAGAACAGTTCTGTTGTGAATGATCTGTTTTCTATTTTAACATGTATTTTATTCCTGTAATGGCAAAGTAATTGCACTAGCCAATCAGGAATCCCCTCTGCAAAATAACTACTCACTGGAGAAAAATTTCTTGTTTCTTTTCATTCTCAAAGATATAGATCTTATTTTGGTACTCAACAGCATACTCCGTGTTTCCACGCACCAAGGCCTCATACCTACAGGTGAAGAGAATAACATGGCAGGAATGTGTTTTTACTTGGAATGAAGTTAAAAATTAATGATTAGAGTGAGCAAGACTACAGTAAAATTAAGGTTATTCTTTCCGTAAGTGTTGTAGAGTGTCTTTGCTGTACCTCTGTTGACCATCCAGATAAGTGACAGGGCAGAAACCCTTCATCTCCACCTGTTGAGGGAACCTACTCTTCACCTGGCCTGCACTGAGCTTATGAGGCAGGAGTGGAGGAGGAGGTAATGGGTAGGGGCAACCTGGAGCCACAAACTGTTCTGGGGACTCTAGAAATCTCTTATTAAACACATAAAGATAGATGTGAGTGAATTAAACCAATATTTCTGTGTGCTGCTGGACCTTTACCTCTAGAAATTCCCTGCTGGTCATTTTGTAGAAGTGGCCCCTGAACTCTGCAGCCAATTCCAGTGAGGTATTATGTGAACAGTCCACCAGATGGCGATGAAGAGCTAAGCTAACTGGACAGTACTGCCCAAACTCCCCTAGCCGGGACTGCAGCTCTCGTGTAGTAATGCACAGTCTGTCTATACAGGCTGCCTGGCCTGTGAGAACGACAGAACAAGTCATCTAAGAATGTATAATACTAGGGATTCTTGTTTGACAACTGTGCGTCATTTGCATGCTCTCACCTTTGTGAATCTTTTCCAGGTAATCATAAATGTGTCTCAAGCTAATGCGAACCTCATCTAAAACTCGCTCCCACACCCACCACTTGCTCTTGTGAGCATCAACGGGAGTCCAGTTGTGATACTGTTGATGAAAGTGCAACCTGAGAGCTTCAACTTCCCGCCTGAAGCAAGAGTTGCGAATGTTTAGGACCTGGGGGCTGTCATGCATTGGGTAAGGCCTGTTGGAGAGAGCTGCCATAAGCTTACAAATTTTGAATATTTGCATTTAATATACATAATATGCCAGACCACAATACCACAAAATTTGTATCACTGTCCATGGAAAAAAAACAAAAAAACACATTGTCATGTTGTAGTTTTCAGCAGAGGTGTACTCCAGAAAGCAAGGTTAACTTACCTTCACATAAACCCTGAGCTCTCTGTTGATTAACCCAAACCTTGCTTACTCGATGTATGCTGGTTCCCCAAACCTTGCTTACTCGATGTATGCTGGTTCCAAAAACTCGTCCAGGAGTAATATCATTCAACTCAGAGTATGTTCCTGGTTAACACGCAAGACATTCACAACTGAGCTACGAATCGACGAGTCACTATGGAAACGGATGCTAAGAAAAAGCGCGTTATACTATTTCTTTCTTTCTTCCGTTCAAAGGCATTTGCTTACTTAGTGCATATTGTTGTGAAATCATTAAATATATATATATATATATATATATATACTCTACCAAGGACGTTGCATAACTTGAAATCATGAAATCATTAAATATATATATATATATATATATATATATATATATATATATATATATATATATATATATATATATATATATAATTTAATCATAATAATATATAATTTAATATTATAATAATACATTATTTAATATAATAATATATAATATTGTGCGCAATCTGTCACACCCACTGGAGTCTCGTCAGTAGATCACGCATGCGCTGATACCTCTGAAGTAAACTAACCCTGAAACATAACCTACTAAATCCGGAGCAGGTTATGTTCAGTGAATAAGCTGCTATGGCTTTTTACATACCCTGAAAGTTACCTCTGTTTTTGAAACGGAAAGCTGAGTTTATTTGCTTACTTAACCTTAAACATGTATGTCACATAACCTGCTTTCTGGAATACCCCCCAGTTAAGTTTAGGTCAGTGTTGTTTACTAAATTGTTAACAAAAAGTACTAAAAAATATTTTCAAGAATTAAAATGAAATCTAAATATTATAAATAAATCTAAATTATAAATAGAAATTAAAGATAAATGGAAAATAGTTAATATTTAATATTACTTATATGAACAAAAATTTAAAAGCAATCTGAAAATATAAAAATTAAATAAATAAATATGTGCTGGTCTGACCTGTTGTTGTTTTTTTCTCTGTCCCTCAGGCCTCTCCGCAGCACTTCTGCCGTGTCCAGTTGCAGTTCAATCACTAGCATAGGAATAATGCTGCAGGATTCCAGCAATTCAGCCTGATGCTTGGTCACAGGGAAGCCATCCAACACAAACCTGAGGATCACAATGTATAGTGACACACACACACACACATATAGGTTATTTTTCTTGCAGAAGTACATTCTTTGATTGGGATATAGTTGTGGTCCTCACCCACGTGTGCTGCAGACTAGGCTCATTACTGCCACTTCCAGGCACTGGATGGCCAGTTTATCAGGTACAGTCAAGCCCTGGTTCAGATGCTTTTGCACTTGATTAGCCAACTCAGTTTTGGCCTGGTTGTTGAGCACCATACGTATTGCATCCCCAATTGAGAGACGAGCGAGGCCATATTCATGTGCAAACACCCGGGCCACTGAGTGTACACACAGTTAAGAGGCCATGAACTACTACAAAATAATTGCTTTTTAGATATCATATATTTTTGAGTGTCTAAAGAACACTTGTAATGACTGACCTGTGGTTTTGCCTGCTTTGGGTGGGCCAATGATAGCCAGTTTGATGGGAAAGGAAGGGATGGGATGTGGTTGACGAAGATATTTGATTGGGTTGAGGATAAAGGTGTTACGTGTCTCCTTGGATGCAAAAAAGTAGATGAATTGGTGTAGGATGACAGGGAAGGTGGCGTTGAAAGGGCCCTGCAGAGGCTGGATCAAATCTCCTTCTGCATACTACAGAACATATCAGCAAACTGAGTTTTCCCTAGTTTTATTTTTATGCTGTTTTAGGCTTTTATTTTCATATTCATTGAAAATTTGTTGTATATCCACCCTTACCTTAACAGGATCCCAGCACCCGAAGGCACTGGGATATTTCAAGGATCTGTACAGGAGTCTTCTGGCGAGACTATAGCTGATTGGCTGGCACATTTGAAACAATGACTCTCTGTTAACCATCAGAGGTTTGATTCCTTGTAGGAGCTGGTACCTCACAATCCGAGGTGGGCGGCCTGCGCTTATAACCAGACGGGGGATTTGGTTGTCTGTTAGTAAGTCCTAAAAAAAACAATCCATACTTTATTTTATTTAATTTAAGTGAACAAAAGCATTAAAATCTTCCTAACAAGAAAAGTCAATTTCCTTAGGAGTTAAATGGCACAATGAACTGTATATTTGTTTCTAAAATGCCCTTTCAGCATCTTCTCCTTACCATCATACTGGTGAGGTTGTTGTCATCCTTCTCAAACCTCTGACTGATCTCCATTTCCAGCTTCTCTTCTGCCCCAGCTTCTGTTTCTTCATCTTCTGCCTCCTCTTCCTCCACAGCAGGAAACTCCTCCAGCAGCATGGCCTCCATCTCCTCCAATTCCTGCTGCTCTTCGTCCATCGCCTCTGATTCTTCTTGCACCTCCTCGTCATCCTCATCCTGATGGAGCAACAAAAATCCAGTCAGAATCTGTCTGAGCCATTCAGCGAAGCAAGACACAATGACCGCGATCGATGACCTGTTCTTTGAGGGGCCTCAGAGTGAGTGGGCTGGGTTTTTTAGGCGCA